GCTAAGAGATACCTTATAGACTTGAGGTGGATTGGGCTGGACAACAGCAGGTAACCTCTCCATAGTTTTACTCCAACACAAACTTGGGCTGGCAATGAAGTGGGGAGAGACTTTACAGTCAGAAAAGTGAGTCCAGATCACTGCAGTGAGACCATGACCTTGCAAAGGCTCTTACTCAGCCTCTTGCTTCTGGATGGCAGGTGAGCCAGGCAAGTCTGGGCATGGAACCCACTGCCAGGGAGACTGCTTCTATTTTGGTTTATTTTGTACTCCCTCGATCCACAGAAAACATATTTGAGAAAGGTGGAAAGGAAAGATGCCTCAGCCAAAGGACAGAAACAGTGAGGACGGCAGTTGGTGGGAGCTGGGCTCTGCGAATGGCGCCACCTGTCCCCCCATTTGTTGGTCTTGCATGCCATCCTTCAGTTGGCACTGCTGCTGCCAGGAACCACCCCCTCCTTTTTTCCATCTGAAGGCAGGGAGAGAGGCATTGTGGCAGTGTTAACTCTTCCCTCCCTACAGCTTAGATACTCTTCTCTACTTGAAACTAATCTTTGTATGCCAAATTAGGACCCACAGAGAAGTTAGGTTCAAAAAAATTTAGATGTGGCAAGGGCCTGGGGGATTTTTAGAAATAGTCGTCTTCCCAGATGAGACCACGTGTGAGGGCGGTGGGGGTAATCTGAAGTTTGTATGATGGTGATGGCTAAGAAAACCTGCTTTGACCTGCAGCAAGGCCTCTACTTTAAATGCTCCTGGCAGATGGGCAGTGGTAGGGGAGGTACTGGGTCAGAGGAGCTCAGGGAGAGGCAGAAGGAATGAAGAATAAAAAGAAAACAGTGGAACATTCTTCAAAACACAGCAGTACAGCCGGGCATGGCGACATACACCTTTAATCATGGTACTTGGGAAACAGAAGCAGGTGGATCTCTGAGTTCAAGGCTAGCCTGGTCCACATAGCAAGTTCCTGTTTCACTTTTTTTTCCTTTTGGACTTTTGGATTCAGGGTCTCTCTGTAGCCCCAGGTGGCCTGGAACTCACAGAGATCCACCTGCCTCTGCCTCTCCAGTGCTGGGATTAAAGGTGTGCGCCATCACGCCCTATGAGACCCTGTTTCAAAAACAAAACAAAACTAACCAAACAACAACATCAACAACAAAAGCAGCAGTGACATTTGGAGGATATATTGGTTAGTCCTGATAATGATTTAGTAAGACAAAGAAGAAGTTGTTCATTAAATTAAGATGGCAGTTGAAATCACCACAATGTCTTTCCTGCCTTATTTCACGTGCTTTTGTAGGAATGGGAAAACACTACTCTAGGAGCAGTGTGGCAAACAATGTCAGCACAACTGCTATGAAGTTGGGGAGGGGGTTGCCATCTGGGTTAAAGCTGTGAACAGCTTTGTTGAAATGACAGAGATGGAAGTTATCATTTTTAGTGGCTTGGTTCATGTGCATCCTTCGAATGGTGCTGGAGCTGCTTGAGTCCTGGCGGGGGTTGGTTGCTGAAACTACTGCTTCCGTCCTTATTATGTTTTTCAAAAGTCAAACTTGTAGTGTGTCTACTCAGAAAACACATCAAAGTTTCTGCAAAAATTTGGCTCACCATCATTGGCTTAGAAAATAGAAAGAATTTTCTATCAAGGAGCTTACTTCTTGGAAATCCCCTCTGTCCTTGTTAACAAACTGCTTTTCTGTTGGGCCTGGTCTGGGTGGAGGAGATGTTGTCTCATCAGGTCCCTTCCTCCAGAGCCCAGAGCCTTTGCAGTCAGGGTCTGTGTGAAGCAATCTCTGGTTTTCTGTGAAACGCAATTAGATAATTGCGATCAAATCATGTGCTTATGGTAGATTTAAGGCCCGTAGACTTCTGCTCTTTGGGGAATTCAAGTGGCCAAAGACATAAGATGACCCCAGGTTCCATGAGATCTCAGAGAGCTTTTAAAGACACCCAAACCCTGTCCACACATCCAGCTACACAGTCAACTACACACAGTCAATGTTACATGGCATTTCAAGATTGATCTCAAATTCATTTGTGATAATTCTGCTCGTCTGTCTGCTGTTCACTGGCATCTCCCTTTTTTGCTTGCTTGCTTGTTTTCAAAAAGGTCTCACTATTTCCCAGACTGGCCTTGGCTTTGAACTCACAGTGCTCCTGAGTGCCAGGATTCTAGGTATATGCCACAATACCAAGCTTTGATCATTCTCTTTTCTGTACTAACACTGTTGAGTCTGTCTCATAGCTGGATGCTATTAGTTAAGATTTTGTTGATAATATGAAAGAGGCCCAGTGCTTTGCCTGTGTCTCCCTCATTCAGTCTCATGATAGTGTTTCCTCATTTTCCAAATAAGTTACTAGAGGCCTAGAGATGCTGGGCCTCCTGTGGCTCTTGAGCTAGAATTCATCATCGCCTTTGCTGTCTAGCTCTTTGCTTAGCCATTTTGTGTGTGTGTGTGTGTGTGTGTGGCTTTTGAGATATGGTCTTTCTTGTAGCCCCAGCTGGCCTGAAACTTACTATGTAGACCAGGCTCCTGAGTGCTGGGATTAAAGCATGTGTGACCACACCTGGCCTGCTTAGCCATTTTAGTCTTCGCTATTTCTCCACGTGGATTAGCCTGGTCTTGTCAAGTAGATTGTAAGCGCTTTAGAATGCTTGTTTCATGTGAGTTTATGTGCGTATGCTCCAGTCCTACCCCCATCTGAGCATTATCTGGGTACTAATGTTTTCTTTCCAGGGGTGAAGCAGGAGCAGGTTCTCCTAATTGGATGACTGCTGTGCTTGGGGAGCACTGTGAGTTGCACTGTCTCTGAAAATGAACCCTCTCCTGGATAGGTTCCAGTTCTCACCGTCCTGTAGGCTCAGCCTCATCTTCATGTTGCCAAATGGCTCACAGCTGCACCAGCGGCAGCCCCACTGCTTCTCTGCCAGTGCCAGGGAAATTTCTTTTTCAAGAACAAGAAGGAACAAGTTGGCATTGGCAGAGTTTTCTTATGCAAATAAAGTGGTGCCCTTTGCCCTTCATCCTCCCCTGACTCTTTGTCACACCCAACCCCCTGCCCTGGACCTTGGGGTCCACCTAGTCCTCTGTACCTTGATAAAAATGTGCCCAGCCCTTGGCCTTGTCTCCTTAAAGCTGCTGTAACTACTAATCTGAGCAACAGAGTCAGGATGGTGGAAATCCCTCTGGTAGCATAAATCCTTAGCTGTCTGCAAGCCAGTAGGGCAGAGGAGAGGAGCCAATGACACTCTATGTGAGAGGACCCCAGGGTCTGGAAAATCCTGGGTTCGAGTCCTGTTCTATTTTACCAGTCATGGTGTCTTGCACAGTTTCTGCAGCACCCACTGTAAAAAGGCTCAATGCCTGGCATATTAAATATCACACCCAGCCCAGCTGTGACCCTCAGCAAGCATGCCTTTATCATCTCCTCCTAGGTGACCTCATTTACCCATTTATCACCCTGGAGTAATAAGCTTCATCTTAACCCTTCTGTATACTGTTGTCAAGTTAAGAAAACAATTATTGGTTTGTTTGAGACTGGGTCTCATGTAGCCCAGGATTGCCGCAAACTTGTTTTATAGTAGAGGACAACCTCAACTCTGGGTCCTCCTGCCTTCACCTCTAGAGTTCTGGGATTACAGGCATGCAACACCGTGCCCAGTGGAGCTGTAATTACTTTTGTATCTTTAATTTAAAAGTGTGCTCTGCTTAGTATTTTTTCTTAATTTGTTTCCTTTCTTTTTCTTTTCTTTTTTTTGGTTTTTGGTTTTGGTTTGGAGGGACACTTTGGAGGGTATCACTTTACAGCCAAGGCTTCCTGTAATTTACCACACTGACCTTGAATTCATAGCAGTCCTCCTGCCTCAGCCTCTTCTGCCCAGATCTCAGCTATGGAGTTTCAAAAATGTTTTTTTAGCCGGGTGTGGTGGCGCACACCTGTAGTCCCAGCACTTGGGAGGCAGAGGCAGGCGGATCTCTGTGAGTTCCAGGCCAGCCTGGTCTCCATAGTGAGTTCCAGGGCAGCTGGGGCTACAGGGAGACCCTGCTTCAAAAATACAAAAAAAAAAAAAAAAAAAAGTTTTTATAGGTGGTGATGTATCTCACTTGGTAGAGTGCTTACCTAGCATGCATGTAGCTCTGCATTCTAGTCCTAGCATCAAATAACTTGGCGTGGTGTCACAAGCCTATAATCCCGGCATTCAAAAGCTGGGGGCAAAAGAATCAGGAGTTCCTGTGACGTTCTCTACACAGTGAGTTCAAGGACACCGTGGGATATGTGATATCACATATCAAAAGTAAATAAAAACATTAGTGTGAAATATGGCTTATGTACAGAAAAATGCATAAACACATGTATAAATTAGCAAGCAGTTATAAAGGTGTCAGTCATGTGGCTGTCATCCAAGCCTAGAATTGGCAGTCACTTATCCCCAAGTAACACTGTGGTTCTCAGTATGGGCTACATGAGGAAACCCTGTGTTGGACAGACAAACAGATGTATCCTGCTGTAAGGGTCAGTAGTGCTGAAATCAAGAAGCCCTAGTGCTAACACAACCCATTATTAGAAAATACTTGATTTTTATTAGTACAATGCTTCAACGGGTGAATTTTTAATAAAGGATTTAGATACTTAAGTCTGTTCATGTCAAATCTTGGATTTGCATACATTTAACCCTCTTAACTAACTATTCTTAGGGAATTTATTATTTTTTTTAAAAAAAGAGGCCACCCAGATTTTGAGTTGAAGGGTCTGCAGTGGACAGACCTTGGGCATGGCGTCGGGCAGCTTTCATTCTTTCGGTGGCGCCAACTGCTTTTAATCTCGTCTGTCAGTTTGCACCCGTCTTGGGAACCCAGTACTGTGCAAGTTTGTAGAAGCCAGATGTGTTCCATTTCTCTATTAATTAATTTGTGAATAAATTAAACATGACTATATTCTTTCCAATGACTGTTCCAGCTCCTTCACACATGTAACACTTTGTCTTCCATTTGTTGCAGGATTTAGTCATTCGTATTGTTTTTATTCTTGGCAACCTGACAGCAAGAAACAACCAGGCTCGGGAACATTTCTCCAGAGAGAGAGGGAGCATTGAAACCTTGCTGACACTCTTCCAGGTGTTCCGCCAGCTTGATGCGCACTCCCCAAGGCCAGGGCTCTCAGGAACCAGGCAGCCCACCACTCCAAGACCATCTGAGGCTGAGGATGTGCTGGTCAAACTGACCCGTGTCCTGGCCAACGTAGCCATTCACCCTCACATAGGCCCAGTGCTGGCTTCCAACCCGCAAGTGGTAGACCTGTTGCTGAGCACACTGGGTGAGGCCACAGACCCTAGACAGTTATGTGGGAGGGCTGTGGTGAGGGTTTGGCTCACTTTAAACAACCTCCTTAGCTGTGTAAAGGAAAGTCCCTCCTGGAGATGTGGCTCAGTTGGTAGAATGCTTGCCTGGCATACACAAAGCATGAATTCAATCCCTAGCACTGCATATACAATGTGTGGTGCCCATGCCTATAATCCCAGTAATGAGGAGACAAAGGCAGGGAGTTCAAGGCTAGCCTGGGATACATGAGACCTTGTTTAAAAACCAAACAAGGCCGGGCGTGGTGCTGCGGGCCTTTAATCCCAGCACTCGGGAGGCAGAGGCAGGTGGATCTCTGTGAGTTCAAGGCCAGCCTGGTCTCCATGGTGAATCCAGGACAGCTGGGGCTACAGGGAGACCCTGTCTCAGAAAGACCAAAAAAAAAAAAAAAAAAAAAAACCCCAACAAAAAAACCCAAACAGACTGGAGAGATGGTTCCACAGTTAAGAGCACTAGCTGCTCTTGCGGAGGACCTGGGTTCGATTCCAAGCACTCACATTCTGGTTAACAACCATCTGTAAGTCCAGTTCCAGGGCATCTGATACCCTCTTCTGACTGCCAGGGGCATTGCAAGACACAGGTACACACACACACATACAGGCAATACACTCATACACATTAAATAAAAATAGTAAATAAAATATTTAAACAAAACAAATAATGAAAACTCTTCTGTTCTTAATGAAACCAAGATTTTAAAAAGAAGAACCAACAATAATATAAATCATTGAATTGTGCACTATAAAAGGGAGAATTTTGGGCATCGAGGCAGCTCCCCAGGAAACACTAGTGCTTCAAGCATGACAGCCTCAATTCCATTCTAGGGTCCACATGGTGGAAAGAGAGAACCAACTCTTGAAAATTACCCTGTGACTCCCACATATGTGCTGTGGACTGTGGTATACCTCCCCTCAAATAAATAAATAAAATAAATAAATAGGCAAAATTTATGGTTGGTGAATTATATCACAATTTAAAATAGGTATATCAATCAAATGAGCCAAAACTGGCTAAATAAACTACAAAGACTATTAAATTCCAGCTTTTTCCAGAACAATCCACATGACTAAGGTTGATTTCCTTTTTCTTCCAATTCTTAAGGCTACCTGTAATTATGTCCCCCATTTTTCATGCCCCATCTTTTCCCCATGTTAGTTCAATCTGCCACAACAGAGGTTTATTTTTACTTATGTGTCTGTGTGTCTGTATATGCATATGCCACATGTGTATGAGTGCCCATGCAGGCCAGAAGAGGGCATCAGATCTCTCAGAGCTGGAGTTACTGGCAGTTATGAGCCATCCAAAGTGGGTTCTGGGAACCAAATTCAGGTCTCTGGAAGAACAAGGGGTGCTCTTAACTGCTGAGCCATCTCCCCAGCCCCCACAATATGATTTATTTCTCATATATCTGGAGGCTAAGAAATTCAAAATAAGCATGGCAGCTGATTCAGCTCCTGGAGAGGAATCATCTTCAGCCTTGTAGACAGTGCTTTTTATTCACTATGTGCTTAAATGTTCTTTCCTTGGTGAGAGACACCCCTGGAATGGGGAAAAGTCAGTCTCTCCTCTCTCTCTCCAGGGCCAGAAAAAAAAGAAGGCCAAAGTCTTCATACCCACTATAAGGGCAGACCCCAGGGATGTAATTTCCTACCATTTCACTCCACCTCTCCTCTTGGCCACCAAAGACTGGGAACCAAGCTTTTAAAAACATTATTAATTAATTAATTTTGAGATAGGGTCTCTCTGTAGCCCCAGCTGGCCTGAAACTCAATCTGTAGACCAGACTGGCCTTGATCTCACAGAGATCTGCCTGCCTCTGCCTCCTGAGTGCTGGGATTAAAGGTGTGCTCCACCACGCCCAGCCAAAATTTTATTTTATTTGTTTGAGTGTTTTGCCTGCATGTGTGTAAGTACACATGTGGGTGCAATGCCTACAGAGGCAAGAAAAGGGTATTAGATCCCCTGGAATTAGAGTTACAGGTGGTTATTAGCCACCATGTGAGTGCTGGGAACCTGGGTCCTCTGGAAGAGCAGCTAGTGCTCTTAATTTCTGAGCCATCTCTCCAGCCCCGGGAACCAAGCTTTAACAAATGGGTTTTTAAGAGGTACTTATCCAAAGCATAAAGCAAACCACCCAGTGGGGTTGGAGAGATGACTTGGAGGTTAAGTGTGCTGTCTGCTCTTGCAGAAGACCCAGATTTGAATGCCAGTGCCCACATAGCAGCTAACAACCATCCATAACTCCAGTTCCAGGGGATCTAATGCCCTCTTCTCTTCTCCACAGGCAACATGAATGCATTTACATACAGGCATAACACTCATACACATAAAATAAAAACAAATGAATAAAAAAACCCCACTTAATTCTGAAAGCCAGAATCCTGGGGCCATCTAGGGTGTTTCCCTTCCTTCATTCCCCCATGTGTCTTTACCAGCTCCATGTGTTCTCTCTGCCACATGTCTAAGCATTATTGTCTTTTAAATACTGCAGGAGGCTCCTGCTTGCTTCTACCTGCACATGCCTGCTCTTCTCTAATGGTGGCCAACATCAAGGGATGAGTCTAGAGGTGGAATGAGAGATAGGGGCAAACATCAGTGAGGGTCCCTTATGTAGGAAGCCAAAGGTTCTTTCATCTGCTCATTCTCATATTCATTGAGCATTTGCTTACTTTTGTTTTTTATTGTTTTTGAGTCAGGGGCTCATGTACCCCAGGCTAGTCTCTGACTCACTATTACAGCCAAGGATGACCCTGAACTTCTGCTCTTCCTGCCTGTGCTTCCTGGTTGGGATTATAGGCACACATTACCATTCCTAGGTTTATACAATGCTAGGGATCAAACCCAGAACTTTGTGTATGCCAGGCAAGCACTCAGTCAACTGAGCCACATCCCCAGCCTTTATGTTTATTTATTTTCACAGTACTGAGAATTGAACTCAGAGCTTGAACTTTAAGTATTTATTCAGCATCCACTGAGTGCTAGATGCTGTTCTTAGCTCAATCAAATCCCAAGTTCTCATGGAGCCAACATGTTAGGTCTGGAAGACCTACCTAACAACAGGTGATCATCTGTACTGTGGAGAGCACTAAAGTAGGGGACAGAGAACAGTGAGTTGATGGTTAAGGAAAGTATGTCCAATAAAGTGGCATCTAAACAGCCAGTCAGCTAAGTGGAGAACTGGAAGACTATCTCAGGCAGAAGGGACAGCAGTGTGAGGGGTCCCAGGCAGTCCCTGCTGCCCTGGTCAAAGAAGCAAGGAAACTGCTGTGATTGGCCTTGGGGGCCTGAGGCTACAGCACCAAATGAGGCCAGGAAGGTAAGGATGGGGCAGCTGAGGGAAGGCCTGAGGGTCAAGTGACATAGAACCATTGCTGGGCTATGACCCAAGTGACATTTTCAGACTTTTCAAGGAAGGATTGTTGTGTTGAGAATAGATTCAAGGAGAAGAGAAGCCAGTCAGATGAGGGAAGGATTGGAGTGATAGGAGAGATGAGAAGCAACTATTCTCTGTGCTTGGAAGGTAGACTTAATGGCAAGGGATGGACAATGACTTTGTTAGGAGGTAGAATGTGGGAATTAGATTAGGCTGTGCAATGAACCCCCAAGAGATCCTGAGGTTAGGACCCATGGGTGAGATCAGAGACAGCTCAGCTCACTGTGGTGTTGGCCCCTTTACTGCAGACCCAGGGCCTAGCCATCTTTTCTAGACCCCTGGCTGTGAGGATTGAGTTAGTGTGTCCTGTATGCTCAGCCTAGAGTGGTGCCCTGCATTTACATCTCCCTACAGTGCCCCCAGAGCACCCTCATAGGGTTTGTGTCATCCTCCCCCTAACCCCTGCACTCCTGTTGAATCCCTGATCACTTGGTTTCAGAATCCAAGTCACTGAGCGACTGTGAGGAGCTGGTGATCAATACCACAGCAGCCATCAACAATTTGTCTTTCTACCAAGTGAAGAACTCTGTCATCCAGCACAAAAAGCTGCATGTTGCTGAATGTAAGGCCACAGTTGGTTTGGTTTCGTGGACACTCATTTAAGGTCTCACTGAATTTCAGTAACTAAACACAGAATTGGAGGCATTGAGGCGCTCCAAATAGCTGAGGCGCTCATCCATCACTAAGAAATGAGAACATGGGGAAAAGTTCACTTCTTAGTACTTGTTGAAATCCCTCATAGTTTGTATTTTAGCACCTTTAAAAATATTTAGGTTAGCAGTATTTGGTTTTTATTCATCTATAAATAAGACCTTAAATTTACTGATTTTATTTCTCTGGTTTTCAAATTCAGTGCTCTTAAAGCTTCTTGTCAGTAAAAACATGGATGGGATCCTGGAGGCTGTTCGTGTCTTTGGAAATCTCTCCCAGGACCATGATGTCTGCAATTTCCTTGTGCAGAACAATGGTGAGTTAATGACAATTAAAACCAATAGTCAGCTAAGTGGCTTTGGAGCTTAGGTGATTCCAGCGTGACACCGCTTGTTTCTGCTTTGAGATGAATGCCACTTATTCTGTCCCATAAGGGAGGTACTTGTCTCAGGGTGCTGACATGGACCTAGGAGTATTTGCTCTCTCTGAGAGCAGCCTCCTGAGTGACAGGATAGGTAGTGTATGCGTTAATGGAAACAAGTAATCTGCACTGTGATTTCTAGGCCTAGGAATAGATGCAAAAGAGTATTTTCTTTCACGTACTAGAATATGTTACACTTTGCTTTTAATGCAAATACAAGCTAAGTGTCCAACAGCCAAGACTTGGATAGATATGGTATATATTATATATTATGTTGTATAAATACGTACACTTAAGCAACAAAATGTTCTACAGCAAGTAAATTAGACATTCATGGATCAACATGAATTAGACATTGGATCAACATGGAACAACCTAAAACACATGATGTAGAAGCAAAAAAAAGTAGTGATAGTAAGAGATAGAGAATCATGTCACCAGTAAACATTTCTTAAAATTTATTTTACTTTTATGTGTATGAGTGTTATGCCTGCATGTATCTAGGTGCACTCGTGTCGTGTAATGCCCACGGAGGTCAGAGAGGGTGTCAGATCCCCTAAACTGGAATTACAGATCGTTTCTGGATGTTGGTGCTGGGATTTGAACTCGGGCCTTCTACAAGGGCAGACAGTGCTTTTAACTGTTGAGCCATCTCTCCAGCCACACCAGTGGAAGTTTTAAGACATGCAAAACTCCCCTGGCACTGCTTCTGCCTATGCATTTCTGTGATGATGGTAGAGAGTTAAATCGTGTTTGGAAATTATTGACTTCCTATTTAAGAGATTTACCATTGGAGGAGAAAAGATGTCCAAAGACATAACATTGGATTTGCAATGTTTTGCTGGTTTCTTTTAATTGGCAAATAAAAATTGTACATGTATCTGGTATACAACATGTTCTTTTGAATGCAATGTTCTGTTTCTTAGGCTGGCTGGATGGCAAGTACTCAAGTGTTTATACAAACCATACTTTGCTTCATATATTTCATGTAAGATTAATAATTTTAAAACCTAGCTATCCAGAGGCTGGGGATATCTCGGTTGGTAGAGTGCTTGTTTAGCATGCATGAGACCCTAGACTGAATAAACCCGGCGTCGTGGTACATGCCTTTACCCAGCACTTGGGAGCTAAGGGCAGGAGGATCAAAAGTTCAAGGTCATTCTGAGCTACACAGCAAATTTAAGACCAGCCTGGAACACAGGAGATCCTCTCTCAGAAAGAAAGCAACCCCCCCAACAACAAAAATGCCTAACTGTCCATGTTTATGATAATAAATCTGGAAAGTGCAGATATAAAAAGCTGCATCATCATCACACTGCCCCCTTTATTCAGATGCCCTGAGAGAACTGCTAACATTTTGGTGTGCATTTTTTGGAGTCTTCAGAACCCACATGTATGGGATGTGGCCTTTGCCCAGATCACTGTCCAACTTCGTAAAGAGGTGAGAATAGGGCGGCTGCCTCTCAAGTGCTCAGTTACTGGGAGTCAGTGGAGTTGACACCTCATCTAGTCCCTGAACCCTTTATTGAGCCCCTGCTGGAGGATGAGAAAACAAGAGAAGCAGTTCCTAGTTCCATCTCCTAGGACCAAGGGAAGATGACTGGCCTTCCCAACCTGAGATCTGCCTGCACTAGAAGCCCTGTACTGTCCAGGTCAGTTTCTAGTAGTCTAAGCCCTCGGAGGCTTCAGAAAAGATCTCATCAGGAGCTCGCTCTCCTACACTAGGCTATACATGTGGAGTTATAACTGGGGGTTCAAAACGGCCTTTGAGAACAACCAGAAGTAGTGGTGAATGCCTCTCATGTTGCCTCTTTTCCACCAGTAGAGAAAGGAAACTGCTGTCTGGTCAGTGATAGGATATTGGGGCCAGAGGCATGGGGAGGCAGAAACAGGCGCTAAGAGTGGGATGTTATGGAGCCTACTGTGGGAGATGAATAAAACTTAGAAAGAATAGGTTCAGCTCACTAACTGAGGTTCCATATGCAAGCACATCTTCCCGCTTTCCCAGCCTACCCCTCAACCCCTGGCATTTGTAAAACAAGCTAAGCTGGGATATGGGCTTTCACTGGTCTGCTGTTTGTTCTCTGCTCTTCCAGTACACAAGTTCATGATGACGCTGCTGGAAGCTAAGCATCAGGACATTTGCTTTTCTGCTTGTGGAGTTCTCCTAAATCTCACTGTGGATGAAGACAAGCATGCCATCCTGAAAGAAGGTGGTGGCATTAAAAAGTAAGTTTCAAGGCATGGACTCCTAATCTTGGGAGCTTGGGCCCTCCATCCATTCCAAGAGAGTAGTGGGGCTAAAGAGGGGATTTGGGTTCTACTGGACACTTGCCGTAATTCAGAGGCACATGAATGCAACTTGGCAGCCAATTAAATTTGTAGATATGAACTTAAAGGATCAATGAATTACATGTCATACATATTAAATAACCTTCTGTAATATTTAACATGCATTATATAGAATTCAGACAGATAGCCCTCATACTAACAATACAAAAAACTTGGAGACAGATTCTGACTGACTAACACTTTAATTTGACTTTCATTAACTCAGATTAGTGGATTGCTTAAGAGATTTTGGTCCTAGTGATTGGCAGCTGGCCTGCTTGGTTTGCAAGACCTTATGGAACTTCAGTAAAAATATCACAAATGCTTCACCATGTTTTGGAGACGAAGACACCAACACACTTCTAGTTCTGTTGTCATCATTTTTAGGTAAGAGCTTTGACTATGGATCTGTGACTTTTATCAAAGTGGTACAAGAAAACTGTGTCCTCTGACCAGTTGGGCTAAAGTTGGTTATGCAACAAAAGAATTTTAAAGGTTATTGTAAATTGAAACTATCTGGAAAAAGATGGTGCTCTTTACAATGGGGAGAAAAGGATTTTTAACTGCCTGGAGCTGTCCTAATTTTGTTTATGGATTTCTCCCTCCATTTTCTTTGACTGCATGAATCTCAGCAGACTTGTGCTTCTGTTCTTTAAAAGAATATAGACATTGTTGTATTTAAGAAAATGTGGTTAGATCTGGAGTGGTGGTATAGGCCTTTAATCCTGGCACTCAGGAGGCAGAGGCTGGTGGATGTCTGTGAGTTCCAGGCCAGCCTAGTCTATATAGTGAGATCATCGAGAGAGAGAGAGAGAGAGAGAGAGAGAGAGAATCTGTTTGGAATTAAGTCATGTTTTCAATGTTTTAGGACAAATCTATAAACTTTAATTAGCAATATTGATAATTAGTACATGGGGAAGGATCTATGAAAATATTTGGCATTATAGTATGGTCTCTACCTTGAAATATAGAAAGTAAAAGCATATAAATTGAAGAAGATTGTTTCCTACTTTAACATTTTTCTATTCTTGAACTTTTTTCAACCTGAGTTAGTTCTGAAAACAATGATTTAGGGGGCTGGAGAGATGACTCAGCAATTAAGAGCACTGGCACTGACTGCTCTTACAGAAGAGCCTGGTTCAATTCCCAGCACCCCACATGGCAGCTAACAATTGTCCCTAACTCCAGTTCCAGGGGAATCCCATGCCTTCTTTTGACCTCAGCAGGCATTGCATGACCCTGGTGCACTTACATACATGCAGGCAATACACTCATATATGTAAAATAAAAGTATAATAAATACTTTTTAAAAACATGATTTGGGCCAGTGAGTAAGGTTTTTTAAAAAAATATTTTATTATTTTTATTTTATGTGTATGAGAGTATTGCCTGCATGTATGTAAGTGCACCCATGTTTTGCAATGTCGAGGAGGTCAGAAGAGGGCTTCAGATTCCCCTGGAACTGGAGTTAAGGACTGTTCATAGCCGCCATGTGGGTGCCGGGAATTTAACCCGGGTCCTCTGCAAGAGCAGTCAGTGCTCTTAACCGCTGAGCCATCTCTCCAGCCCCAGGTTAGGTTTTTTATGAATCCTTTTTCCCACATGGAAATGTGCCCATCATTATCCAGCTGTGTTGGACCAGCATGGCTGTGTGGAAAAACTCAGTCAATGAATTCAAATCCTCCTAGCTAGTGTTGGTGGTATGATTTGAACAGAGCATCTCTCACTGCCTGTCCTTCCATCTCTAAAATGGCACTGTGAGAATCCCTGTCTTGCCCCGGAGTTAATTGTGGGACTCAAACAAGTGTCCTGAAAGCACAATAGAATGACCCAGATGTCTTCTCATCAATCAGTTCTGAGTTATGTCCTTGCTTTATCCCTTATAAGTTTCTAAAAATATTTTATTGTTTTTATTTTTTTATATGTAGAAGTGTATCGCCTGCATGTATGTGAGTGCACTCATGTCATGCAGTGCCTAAGGAGGTCAGAAGAGGGTGTGGAATCCCCTGGAACTGGACTTATAAATTCTCTACAAGAGCAGCCAGTGCTCTTAACTACTGAGCCATCTCTCCAACTCTGTCTTATAAGTTCTTAAAACTTGGGTTTTGCCTTCCTAAACTCCTGTTTTTGTACCCTCTAAGTTAGATAACTTAGTGACTGCCTACCATGTAGAGTGCTTAGGGCTAATAAACGTGCACTTAAAATATTAAAAAAATAAACATACACTTCTGCAGAGAATTTAGTACTGTGCCCCATATCTAGCAAATCCACAGGGATAGCTAATCTATTTTGTGAACAATAAGTGTCATGGGAGAGTATCACTGGACAGGAGCAGAGACCCAGAAATGACTTGAAAGATCAGATCTGCTAGTCTGTTAGGAAGTTTGCTTTTTCCAGGTAAGTAGGATTTTGTGAATATGTATGCTAAAAATCAGAGTAAGAAGAAAAATGATTTTAAATGATTAAAGTTTTCAGTCTGTGTGAACATTGAGCTTTCTTGGGTGGCAGGAAGCAGGAGTGCTTGTACACATTGCCTGAGTTCAGCTCTCTCGGGGGCAGCAATCTCTGAGATGAGTTGTGGAGTCAAAACAGCTGGTCTTGGTCAGCCCTGTGAATGCTGCTTTCAGCCTCTCTGGTCCCAGCTTGAGAAGCTATGGTTTGAAAAGTTTCTTAGATCAGTGTGAGTGCAGAGCCAGGGTTGAGATCTTTTGCTCTGGTTAATGAAGGAATCTAAGGGTAGGATGTGTAGGAAGGAGGAAGCCAGGGGATGAGATACTGCCCAACGCCTCCCTTAGAACTGCTTAGGAGGCTTCTGCTATCCCTGCCTTGGGCGGGTGGTCCCGGAGACCCAGTTCTGTCTTGTCTACATTCTCACTCTCCCTGTCTTCCCTCTCCTGCTTCCTCAAGGCCTCTGCCTTAGGCTTCTAATTTGTTGTTGACACACTTTCCATTATCTTCTCTTGCAGAGAAGACATGACTGTCCCAGTGAGTCACTCTCCAGTGACCTAAGGCTTTTGTGTGCCTCCGAGAGGTTATCCTTTGTCATCTAAGCTTGGAGCAATGGGCTCTGAATAACCAGGATGTCAGGAGCCACATAGCTTTTAAGCAAAAGACATGGGTATGGGCAGTGCTGGCTGCTGACCAGGGCAGCATCCCTGGAAGGCACTTGCTTATAGCTGGCCCGTTGTCTACTGCTCTACTCTTCAGGTTTCTCATATGACAACTTCCAACTAGCCCAGCCTCTGGCCTTCATAAATGCCATAAAGCCCCTACCAGGCTCTTTGTATGGCTTTTGAAGCCAGTGGGTGTAGTCTCATATAGAAAACCTATACTTCTAATACAGCAATTAGTCCTGGCACATGATGATATATGTGATTTCTCCTTTGGTATTGTTTTACATGTTCCACTCGAGAGTAATTATATTTTGGTATACAATATAGGTGCTGGATGAAAGCCGTGGATGGGCCAACAGTAGTGCTGCCTTTGTTTTAATAATGCTGTTGCACATTTTTGTTTAGGAACTTTGTGTTAGGGTAGTGGTGATGGTGACATCGTGACAGACCATTAAGTTGTCCAGGCTGGCCTCAAATCTGTAATCCTCATTCTGCTATGCCACCAAGTCTGCACTTAAAAACAAAACAAAACAAAAAACCTTAATTCTATTCCTACAAGATGTTTTTCTGTAGTTGTCATTAGCTAAGCGCTGTCTCTTAGGAAAAAGTCTACAAGTGTTAAGTGACTTGCCTAGGGTGATATAATGGAAAAAGTCGGAACTTTTCACTAGAAGATTGACATGTGGCCTGTGTTTTCTTGCTGTTCTGTCACATGCCTAGCACACTCTGACTCTAGCCTATCCCACTAGGGCCACTGTGGTATGGAGAACCAAATAAGTGCAGTTTGATCAGGGAGCCAGCTCACCACATCAAAGCATGACGGGTTTCTTCTTGTGAATCTTTTCTCTTTGTGTGTGTGTGTGATGCATATATATATATATGTGTGTGTGTATGCATGCATGTGTATGGGCACATGTGTGTGAGTGTGCATGCGTATGGAGGCCCAAAGTTGATACTGGGAAGCATCCTTAATTGCTCTTCTACCTCATTCATTAAGACAGGTTCTCACAATCCTAGCCAGAACTCACTGATGTGGCTAGTCTTGCTAGCCAGTTTGCTCTGGGGATCCCCTGTCTCAGGCTGTGTGGTTTTTGATACTGCTTGGTCCCTCTCACTGCTGGGGCACTCAGAGTCCACCTCTGGGCAGGACCATGGGTGTGCTGAACAGGAACAAGTCAGTGAGAGGGCAGTTGAATTTTAGTGCTTTTACAAAGATAGCTAAAAAGGCAGGCTATGTTGAAAATAGGACAAGCTCTTAAATCACAAAGTCTGTGAAGTATGAGTGCTGATTTTGGAAATAACAGCAAAGTTATATGATATGAAAATAGAAGTTACCTGACTTTTCTTGCTAGATGATTAGGAAAAAAACAAAACAAAACAAAACTCAGTCAGGCATGATGGCACATGCCTGTAATTCCAGCACTTGGAAGGCAGAGGTAGTTGGATCTTTTTGAGTTCAAAGTCAGACTAGTTGACAAAGCAAGTTCAGGCCAGCCAGGGCTACATAATGAGACCCTGTCTCAAAACACCAACAACAAACCCATCCCACCCCACCCAACTTGAAAAGTAATGATCTTCAACATGGTTGAGATTTTCTGGAGAGAGGCTTAAAAAGAGCATTGTCGAAAACTTCCTGGTGCGTGTGTAAAGTCAGAAACTTACTTCTGGGAGGCGCTCTCGGCTTTCAGGCCCACTAGGAGGCACGCTGTGACCCTCTCTCCCCACGCTGTCCTTATGACAAAAACTAAACTACTGTTTGTGGAATAGAGATATTTATTTGGGTTTGCCAACAGAGCTTATGACATCCGGGAGGGGGTTACTTATGAAGACATGGACACTCATGGGCTTTTTTCCCTACATCTTGGCTGAGCTTTCCAGACCTGCACCTGCCAGCCCAAGATGGCGAAGCTCCCCCTTCCTCCCTGTCTTCTTCTGTGTCTGTGTCTATCCTTGGACCCTCCCCCTCATGTACTTGAAGCTGATTGGGTGGGAGGGGTGACTGTCTCCCTCCCTTGCTACAAAGTCTCTTAGGGTTCAGACATCTACCTGTTGCTAGTTCTTTTGGAGGACATGCTTATCTAACAGCATGACAGTCAGCAGGTCTTTTTTTTAAGATTTCATTCATTCATTCATTCATGTGTGCGTGTCTGTTTTTGTGAATATATGCCATGTGTCTGCAGTGTTTACCAAGGCCAGAAGAGGGAGTCAGATGTTCTAGAGCTGTAGTTATGGGTGGTTGTGAGCCATATGACATGAGTGCCGGTAACCAAACTCGGGTAGAGTTTGGTAGTGTATGCTCTCATCTGCTCAGCCATCCCTCCAGCCTCCACAGTCACTTCTTACAAACTCATTATTGGAGTGCTTATCTGGGGGTGCACCGTGAGCCTCTTTCTGGAAGCTGACAATCAGATGTAGGTATATGCAATTTATTGTTGTGACTATAAAGAACATTAAACTGTTTTTTGTTTTGTATTTTTGAGAGAGGGTCTCCCTGTAACACCAGCTGGCCTGGAACTCCCTACATAGACCAGGCTGGTCTTGAACTCACAGAGATTCTCCTGCCTTTGCCTCCCAAGTGCTGGGATTAAAGGCGAGCACTACCACACATGGCCATTAAATTGTTTTCTAAGAAAATTTTTATATTACTTTTTGGGGGATGGGGGCATGTGTATGCCATGGCATGTGTGGAGGTCAGAGGACAACTTGTGGGGGTCAGCTCTTTTTTCCCACATGGCTTTTGGGGATCAAACTCAGGTCATCAGGCTTAGCATCAGGTGTTTTTACCCACCGAGCCATCTCAGCCATCCTACACTAGATTGTATGCTCATGGTGAGGTACATGGATCCCGGCATCAGGTTTCCTGACAAGGGTAGAATGGAACCCAACAGTCCAGTTGGAAGATCACACCATGAGGACAATACCAAAGTACTGTCAAGGTGCTCGTGGAAGAGATGAGGACTGTGCCCTACAAAAGAGTGATCAAGAGAATGTGAGCTCCTCCATCAGCAACTGTGCTGCACAGAAAACTAGAAAGCAGTGCAGTGAGTCAGGGAAACTTCAGTGGACGCTGCAGTGCTTGACCTGTAAAGAGAGTTATGACAGTCAGCTGAGGGCTTGTTGTTTTAAGTCTTATAATTCTTTCTAATAACTTACCCTAAATTTTAGTATTTGGAAGTGTACAGTGCACTGAGAAAGCTTAAGAATAATTGGTTATCTAAATTAATGCTTTTCTGACTATGGGTTATGAAATTTAGTTGATTATAACCAACTTCTTGAAAAAATGAAGGAACAAAGAAAATACTGGAATATATCATTACATATAGTAGAGGTAAGTATTTTAAAGTGAAGCATTTATTATTTGTTTATAAATATAGCTAAATCTATATAGAGTTAAGAAACAAAATTTATTTCTTACTAAGGATAACAGGAAGTTTGATAGATCTAAATTTTAATTGAATCGGCCTCTGCCACTCTTTGCAGTACAAGTTCAAAATGTTAACACCCAGTGTGTAACACATGACTTTTTACACAGTTGCTATATTTACTTTGACACCTCAGTCTACATTTCTCTTACCTGTAGCTATTTAATTTTTTTTATCTTGTCTAATCTAACTTAGAATTAATATGGTCTGACTATGGATGATCCAATTTCCATTTCAACTGCGCTTTAAGGAAAGTAAAAGGCTTAACATTAGATTAAAAAACAAGGGGCTGGAGAGATGGCTCAGTGGTTGGGTGCACTGACTGCTCTTGCAGGTTCGATGCCCAGCACCCACATGGCGGCTAGCAACTGTCTGTAACTCCAGTTCCAGGGGATCTGAAGCCTTCTTCTGACTCCACGGGCAATGCACGACATGGGTGCACTTACACACATGCAGACAATACACTCATACAAATAAAATAAAAATAATAAATAAAATATTTAAAAACAAACAGGGAGTATGTTAAAACCACCAAATCCAACCAAGCCTAGGTAGAGGGAGGAATTGTGCAGTGCTTGGGTCCTAGTGCTTAGAACTAAACACCTTAGGAAAGAAAACCAGAAAACAAACTATCAACAAATGTTTAATGTGAACAGGAAGATGATCTAGAAATCTGAAGTGACTCAGTCTAGTAGGTTCTCATGTACAGAAGTAGCCAAACAGGAAAGGCTTTGAAGGCATGGGATGCTGGCTGTGTTCTCCTTCCTTCAAGTGTTGGGTTATCTTGAGGGTGTGGAGAGCTAGGTTTGCTTACAAGGTCTCCAGGGTGTGCCTGGCTGAAGTGCCTGCCTAGAACTTATCTCAGTGCAGCATAGCTGTGCACTTGGATCTCGAGGGTAGGAGGGGAAGGTACAAGCAGGGATTCCACACTTATCTATGCTGGGTGGCGACATTAATAACCATGGTGCCAAAGTACACTCTGGGCAGACACAGATGTTTACTGCAGAAAGCCTGTGAACAGAGCAGGGAAACACTTTATAATGGGCTGTAACTGACTCTATAGTAAAATGTTTGGGCATTATGTAAGTAGGGACATTTATGGTCATTTTGGTATTTAGTGGTCACCATTTAAGCAGTCTGCCTTGGGCCACAGACCTAGGAAGTGAAAGAGCCAGCCGTTTGACTTGGTAGGCCATTGCACTTTCCTGAAGTCTGTCACGTAGGTATGAGATGAGGACCAGCATAAATAGGCAAAAAGGTGGTGGAAAGCGGTATAGAAACTTCAGTGGCCATTTGTCTTTCTACTTGGGTTGGATATACTTACAGTAGTCACAGAATTCAGTATGGTCTTGCGTTAAGAAGCAGATTATACTGTTATTTTGCATTTTGTTTTCACAAGTGCTTTTCTGCACTGTTCATGGCCTCTTTGGGGGCTCAATACTCTTGAGAGTCTCAAAGTCCCCCAGTTTTCTATGGAAAGTGTTGGGATGGGAGAGTGCCTTTTCATATAGGCAAGCCCTCTCCCCTTGAGCCCTCAGCCCTTCAGTGGATTATCTTTGCAAAAAAGAATATCTTGGCTGTTTTGAAGCCAATGAAGTTCTAATTCCTACACTTTTGTAGTTCAAATTATCAAATTCAACTGGCCTATTTTCCCCAAAGATTTCCCAAATTCTTTTGTATCTCTCATCATTGAGGTAATTAGCATTTTTTATTTTTATGTGTATGAGTGTATTGCCTGCATGTGTGTAAGTGCACATGTTGTACAATGCCTGCAGAGTCAGAAAAGGGCATTGGATTCCCCTGGAACTGGATTTACAGATGGTTGTTAGCTACCATATGGGTGCTAAGAATTGAATACAGGTCCTCTTCAAGAGCAGTGGGTGCTCTTAACCACTGAGCCATCTCTCCAGCCTGTAATTAGCATTTCTAATGTGCATAAAAGAAAGTAATTTATTCTTCATTTATTCTGAGCAATTGTGATAGACTTTTAGATGCAAATTTGTATCTAAAAAAGTTTAAAAATTATTGAAAGAGCGCACGTCAACCTATGATTTAAAAAAATTATTGGCCTTTTAAATTAAGATATGAAATATACTTATTTTGTGGGGGTATGCTAATGCATGCAAGTAATTCCAGCACTTAGCACTCTGGAGACTGAAGTGCAGGAGGTTCTAGAATTCCAGGCTACCACCCTGGGCTACATTACAAGACTCTGTCTCAACACACACACACACACACACACACACACACACACACACACACACACCCCACCCCCACACGAATTGTTCTTAAATATTTGTTAAGAAAAAAGAGAATAAAGAACTCCATTTAAAAAGCTTGCTTGGGGGCTGGGGAGATGGTTGTTCTTGCAGAAGACCTGGGTTCGACTCCCAGCACCCACATGGTGGCTAACAACCATCTGCATCTCTAGTTCCAGGGAAATCTGATGCCCTCTTCCGATCTCTGTGGGCATTGCATGACATGGGTGCATTTACATACATGCAGATAATACACTCATACACATAAAATAAAGTATTTTTTTAAAACTTTCTTCTGCCAGGTTTGGTGGCACACAGGAGGCAGAGGCAGGCAGATCTCTGTGAGCTCGAGTCCAGCCTGGTCTATTAGCAAATTCCAGGCCAGCTGGGACTACAGGGAGATCCTGCCTAAAACCCCCCCCCCCCCGCCAAAAAGAAAGATTTCTTCTCAGGGTACAATGGTCTGAACCTGTGATCTACCCTCCTGAGGAGGCTGAGACAGGAGAATCAACCACATGAGCCCAGGAGTTCCAGAATGAGCCTAGGCAAGATAGGAGACTGTCTCAAAAAGAGACAACCTATCTTGTGTCAAGCCATATTGGTATTAAAGATGACCCAGAATGTGAACTGATCTCATTGGAAATTAAACTCTGTTCCATAAGATTACATTTCAAATGATTGCTCTAATTTATTATTATTATTATTATTATTATTATTATTATTATTATTATTATTATTATTTTCTGGTACAGATGAAGAACTAGCCCTGGATGGTTTTGACCAAGACCTAAAAAACTATCACAGACTCCACTGGGAAACGGAATTCAAACCTGTGGCACAGCAGCTTCTAAAGCGAATCCAGAGTCACAACACGTTCCTGGAGCCCCTGCCCATTCCTTCCTTCTGACATGATGCAGGTTAACAGAAAAAAGAAGTTAGGTCTCCCTCATTCTTAAGAGGTGATAACAAGCATGAAAGTTTTCTCAGTATTAACAAACACTGGAAGTTTTAAAATTACTGATTTTAGTGAGTAGCCTAAGTATTTTGAAAGAAATAAGCATTTTTTCATTTCTAGATATTATGGAAAAAATGAATATATTTGTTGTATTTTCTGCAATGAGAAATGTGAGATGGAAATATATGCATTTTAAAAGACTATTTCTATTCTCTATTAAATAGTTTAGAAATAGCCTTAAAATCCCAATTTGACAGCTTTGGATTTCTATGCTTGTCAATTCATTAGTTGAAGAAATGTGCAATGAAGACTTAGATTTTGCCTATGGGAAGAACAATGGTCTACGGGAATGGCACGTGTTACTACATAAGCACATCTACAGTTCTTATTACAGTTAAAAATAGGTTGTCTGCCTACATAGTGTCTTTCTTATCCCCATATTAAGAGAAGGAATAAACAAAAATCTTAGAGAATGCTGCTTTGAGGGACTGAGGATGTACTTCAATGATAGAGCACTTGACAGCCATGCTCAAGGTCTTGAGTTTGATACCTAGGACAAGGGGGGCGAGGGGGGGAGAGAGAGAGAGAGAGAGAGAGAGAGAGAGAGGAGAGAGAGAGAGAATAAGATACTGCTTTAGGCCATCTTTTTAAAAAGATTTTTAAAAATTATATTCATTTATGTCTGTGTGAAGACACTGGGTCCAGGAATTACACGAGGTTGGAAGCTGCCTGATGTGGGTGCTGGGAATCAAACTTGGGTCCTCTAGAAGAACAGCAGGTGCTTTTAACTACTGAGCCATCTCTCCACCCCTGGCCATCAACTTCACTAAAACAGATGAAAAAAGAACTTTGCCTTTCTTTTTACTGGAACTACAGTGACTGAATTGGAAAGTTCTCATCAAACTTTAAGAGGTGATATCATGGATTAGAGTCCATGCTTAGGTCAATGGCATTCCTGTTTGACTCCTAGCTTTCCCAGCCAGCTGTGTCAGTCTTAGGCAAGTGACTCAATTTTTTAGCTTACATTGCAAAATGAGAATAATAGCTATTTTTATTTTAGTGTGTAAGAGTTCTCTGAGGAACAGAATTGATAGAATATATATATTCTAAGGGAACTTTGTTAGGCTGGCTTACATGATACTGGCTGGGTTGTTCAACAATGTCTGCATACTGGAGAAGCCGAGGACCCAATAGCTGTTCAGTTCACGAGGCTGGATACCTCAGCAGCCCCAGTGTGGCACTGGAGGCCTGGGGGATTCCTGGAGAGCCACTGGTCTTTAGTCCATGTTGGACAGGTGAAGAAACAGGGTACATGTCAGTGAAGGGGGACAGCAGCTGGCAGCAGCAAAGTAGATGTGCTCACCAGCAAGGAGTAAAGGTAGGCAGACCAAAGCGGTTCTGCTTGTCCCTGAGACCTCTTTGTATCTGTGCTGCCTCAAGGAGAGGTGCTGACTACTATGGAGGAAAGTGTTCCCTTCAGTTAATCTTTCCAGGAAAACCCCCTATAGATCTGCTCAGAGGCATGCCTCTTAATTCATCCCAGATTTAATCAAGTTATCAGACAAGATTAACTATCACAATATAGTTCAGAGCAAAGCATTAAATGGGCAAATTGCCCAGTCCAGTGTACGAATTGTGGATGAACAGTAAAATTATTATGATGGCAGTTTGTTTGCTATTCTTAGAAGGGTAAATTTTGCCTTTGAATAAATGATTTAAAAGGACAAATTGTAGTTGTTCTCCTTTACTAGTGAATGAAGGTTTGTTTTTCTCCTTGGATAAAGCTGTTATGGAAAGTTCATTTCTCACCCCAAATATGACCTAGCAATGAAGGTAGGCATCCCAGACTGGATGAGCTGCTGTAGCTTCTTAGAATAGTCTACATTTCCAGAACTAACAGACTTTGTAAGGACAAGTCATCTGAGATGCATTTCTGGTTAGGGCTTGGCAGAATCCCATGGGGAACTCACTTTACTGCAGTCTATGATACATACGTACATGGGAGTGGGTTCAGTTCACCAGATGGAATCACCAGATGGAGGACTAATCTCTCCAAACATTTAGGATATGTCTATTTTATCCATAGAAAACTATATATTCTTTTTTTTAAAAGAAACTAAAAAATTATTTATGGGTATGAGTGTTTTCCTGCACCCATGCTGTGCACCTGTAAGTGCACCCATGGTATGCAATGCCTCTGGAGGCCAGAAGTAGGTGTTGGATACCCTGGAACTGGGGCTGTGAATGATTATGAGCCTCCATGTGGATGCTGGGAGCTGAACTCAGGTCCTCTGGAAGAACAACCAGTGCTCTTAAGCACTGAGCCATCTCTCCAGACCCACAAACTATATTCTTCCAGTGGAAAACCAACAAATTCTTCTGTACTCAAAGCACACTCCTCTTTTAGTATTTATAAATAGCTCACAGTAGGATATTGTTTTCTCCTCCAAACCATACACTCTCCCTCAGACTCAGGTAGGCTGAGCCATTTAGAACCACCTATTTGCATGTGGTGGTGGTGGGGGATAAAAACCATAAAATCTTCCTTTTTTTTCTTTTTCAAGTTTTCATACACGTACTCAGCTCTCATACCCACCTTCCCTCTGTCTTCTCACTGTTCCCCTCTCCTCTTAGTCTCTTTTGTCCCTTACAGTTTTACAGTTTTATCTCTACTTTCATGTCATACACATACATAAAAACTTTCCATTTTATTTTTAAATCTTTTTGAGACAAGGTCTCCCTGTAGCTGCAGCTGGCCTGCATTCGCTAAGGAGACCAGGCTGGCCTTAAACTCACAGAGCTCCACCTGCCTCTGCCTCCTGAATGCTGGGATCAAAGGTGTGCACTACCACGCCCTGCCAAACCTTCCATCTTAACTACAGTATAACACTTTAAAATGTGTTCAGTAATGTTAAGAAAACAAACATTATTCTGCGGCAGATCTCTAGAAACATTTTTATCTTGGAAACTGGAATTCTAAACCCATTAAGTGGCTTTCCAAATCTCCTGCCCTGGCAGCTACCATTCTGCGGTCAATCCTGAGTTTGACTTCAGATATCACGTAGAAGTGGTGGTGGATACCTTTAATCCTAGAACTCAGGAGCCTGAGGCAAGAGAATTCTGAGTTTGAAGCCAGCTGAGGCTACACAGCAAGATCATAGGTTAAAAAAAAATACAATCGATTTTTATGATTTTCATATCCTGTGACTGCTCATTTTAAAATTAGTCCTATTTGGTGGAATCTTGCATTTTCTCATAAGAACAATTTCTCTACAGAGATGATCTTACTTCCTTTCTGATTTAGATGCTTTTATTTTGTGAGTACTCCTGCCAGGTCCTCCAGTACTACGTTTAAAAGAGGTGAAGAGAGCACACATTCTCGTCTTTCTCCTAGTTTTAGAGGAAAGGGCTCCAAGCATTCATACTGAATTTGATGTTGTTTATGGTCTTTACTTTGCTGAGGTAGTTTCCTCCTACTCCTGCTTTAAATGTGTGTGTCATTGTGCTTTTGAGTTTCCCTATGTAGCCCAGGCTGGCCTGAAATTCTGGCACATGCTACAGAATCACTCTACCACTGAGCTACACCTCCTGTTTTTGCGCTTTCTCTTAGTGTACATTTGTTATACAAAATAATGGGTTTCATGTGACATTTTTGTGTGCACATCCTGTACTTTGATCATATCCAACCACTCCCACTACTCTGCCTCTTCCCTTCCCCTTTCTGACCTTCTTTCCAAGCAGTCCCTCTTCTACTTTAATGTCTGATTTACTTTAGATCTAGATTCTGCATTATGAGAGAAAATGTGGTATTTCTCTGAGTCTTTCACTTAACATGACGTCCAGTTCATCCATTTTCCTGTGTGATATAAGTTCTTCATGGCTGAATGAAATTTCACTGTGTCCATTTACTATATTTCCTTTATTCACCTACAGGTGGACAGGAAAGCTGATTCTTTGCGGGAGAGATTATATGTATGTGTATGTATGCACACACACACACACACGCAGGAGTGGTATGGGTTGACAATATGTAAGTTCTATCTTTGTTTTTTTTTTTTTTTGAAGACCGTCCACATACTGATTTTTATCTTGCTGCTTCTAGGATTCTGTTTTGAACTGTTAATAATTTGATTATAATGTCTCATAATGGGTCTGTGGCTTTATTCTACTTGTTTGTTGAGCTTCTTGAATTAGTACAACCATTTCCTTCCTCAAATTTGGAGCATTTTAGAGTAACAAGGATAAATGGGGGTTGGGGATATAGCTCAGTGATAGAGTGCTTGCCTAGTATGAGGGAGGCCAGAGGTACCACCCAAACAAACCGGTACTGTTTTGTTTGTTTTACTTGTAAGACTGCCCATGTGTATACTGGCTGACTAGTTTTCTGTAAGTCCTTTGAACTGTCTTCATTTTTATCATTCTTTTTGTTCCTCTGACTCAGTATAAAGTGGCCTGTCTCTATATTCACTGGTTCTTTCACCTGTCTGAAGTCTGCTGCTGTTCTTCTCTTTGTATTTCCCCTTTTCTTGCTATTTGCCGCAGGCTGGTCTGAAACAGGCCACTGCTGCATCAACCCTCAAGCGGTGGGATTAAAGGCACACGCTGCCTCACCTTCCATCAGCTGTTTTTTGCAGTTTCTCTCTGCTGACACTGCCATCTACCTGCTCAGGCATCACCACCCCAATTTCACAGTCACCTCTCTTTCTTTTAGTTCACCGATTATCTTTTAGACATTTTAATTCTTGATAAGGAACTTAATTACCTGACAGAGATCTGTATTTCTTTTTTTTTAATTGAACCATGGTTCCCTATTTCTTTTTATGCCCTATGCATTTTTGTTGAGATTGGGGCTTTTGATAAAATAGCCACCCCTCCCACTCTGTTTATAGACTGGCTTTGTGCGAAAAATCTCCATCAGTCAGCCTGGTCGGAGGCTCTGGAATCCATCGAACCTTTTCTGTGTTCCCCTACCTCCCATGCATGTGTTCTTTCATTCCTGTATGTGTGGCTGCCTGGAACTGCCTGCTTCCCTCAGATGTTCTCCTTTGCTCTTGCTGCCTTAGCAGCTGCCTACAGAATGCACACTTCCTGCTTCTCGAACACCAGGCTGTTCTCACTTGTTTTCAGCTGCCTGAGCACCTAACAATGCCATGTAGCCCCACCACAGCTGAGTAAGGTGAGACAAGAACCAGTTTCAAGCAGTCAGCCAAGCCAGAACACTGGACAGAAGTTCCTCATTTTCCTTTCATTCCTGAAGCAGTACCTGGGAATTGGGAGGTTTTCTTGCCTTCATACTATGCTGTGCTAGGAAGCAGCTTTGTGCCTGTTCTGCATGCTGCAGTGTCCCAACTAGAATCCTCACAAAAGTGGAGCCTCATCAATGGGATTACTTTTCATGTAGGAATGGATTCATTATCATGAAAGTTTGCTTCCCATTTCTTTTTCTTTTCCATTATGAGCTGAAGTAGCATGTGGCCCTGACCAAATGTGGCCACCTAGTCAACTTTCCCACCTCCAGAACCATGAGCCAAAATACCCAATTTCATGTATTGAGTTATAGCAACAGAAAATGTACTAACACAATATCCTTGAGAGCAGGTACCACATCTCTACTTAAAATTGTTTCACCCGCAACTCTTTCACTCTCTAAGTTTGTAAGCTTCAAAACAGTGTGTGAATCTCCTTGGTTTATAAAAGTAAATAGAAATGCAGAATTGTTACTAAATGTGAAGCTAAAGCTATGACTTACAGAATTAAGACAGCAAACTGGAGAAAATTATTCTTTATTGAAAAATACCAATAATACTGACAGACTTCAAAAGCAATTCACGCTTCCAGAATACAAAGTACTTAATACATTTTCCCCAAACCTATTTGTATCTCAAAGTTAGCATTTTTGTAAATCAAAATTGATAACCTCACTAAAATATTTTCCAGCTTTATTCTTGAAGGAGCTGCACAACCTTCAAGGTAGGGATCATGAGGTGGGCAGAAGCATGGGGACGAGTTCACTGGGACTGTGCAGCAGTTTACAGCAACATTTCTCACAACTTCAGCACTGGAAACAAAAATACTGCATGACAGCTGCCCTCCAGTGCCGGAAAGTCTTGTGAAAGAGCATATCAAAAAATAGCTTGTTTTTGTTTCTTTTCCTTATAATTCATACTTTCATTTTAAGATTACTCTTTGGGGAAAATCTTTTAAGAATGCCACTGTAATATCATCTAATAACTGATTTAAAAAACTACTATAATGAAAGAAATGAACTGTTACCATCAAAATGGTCTCTGCTGAGCTTTTAATTCTATGCTTTTCTTAGATGCAAGGAAAAAAGAACATGTATACAAGTTTAATTTGAAACCACACAAATTATGCATGTAGGCTCAGATAGTAGCAGTGTTCACTGTAATCACTAATAGCTTAACTGGAACAGCCATCTATTCACTCCACCAGCCAAGAGAGCAGCACCAAGATCTTCTAAAATTCTTTATAGATAAATCTTAGTCATTATCCAAGTCCCATTCTTTACATGCTCCAATTCTTGTTATCTTATTAACATCAAAGCAACAGGATTTGGAAAATTGCTAGCTGCTGTATTAAAACAATTATACAGCATCTTGTACTGTCAGAAAGCAAGATACCATGAACAGCAGCCTTCCTTCACAGCTCTAACCTCAAAGCTGCCAAGCACTCACTGCTCGTGCCAGCAGTGGTATTCCCACAGTAAAATAGCAGACACTAAAGGAATCATGGCACAATGAATTTCTGAATTCTTTTATCTACCATTGGTCCTGGGGCTTGGTACCATCCATGTGTAGACTATGTTTGCTGTTCATTCCAGAATCATCTTTAATGGAGGAAAGGCATCAAGTCATATAGCGGGTGATGGCTCTCAGAGCATAAAGGAGTTCTGCTTGCATCCTAGCTTCTATAAGAAGCAGATTAACATGAACCTGAATGTAAAATATAACACTGTGTAAGGGAGGGTTATAAACATCACAGTTTTTCAGTGCATGCAATAAAAACACCAAAAGTAAGTACAGTTACTTGTCCCTTGATATGATGGGCGACTGGTTCCAGGATTCCCCTTGGATCCTCAAATTCTTGGATGCTCTAGTCCCTTATACAAAAATAGCATACTCTCTGCATATGGCCAGTGCACAGCCTCCCATATGCTGCAAATCATCTCTATATTATTTAGAATACAATATAAATGCCATGTAGATGGTTGCTGTACTGTCTAGGGAATAATGACAAAAGTCTGTACGTATTCAGTAGAGATGCAATTAAAAACTTGTGATCCACAGTTGGCTGAATTCATGGATGCAGAACCACAAATATGAAGGGCCAACTACATTTTCTGTGTACTATGAAATAATAGTCTTAGATTTGTTAACACAGTACCAATTTCTCAAAAGCTATCTGATTTATTTTGGGATAGGTGTCATGATCTTTCATTTACATTGGCCACATCTCTTTTTGGACATTTGTTATTGTTTAGAAAATCTAGACACTGCTTTATCTGACTACCAGAATCCTCACCCAAACCAATTTTTAGAAAGATGCTTCAATCCTGGCATAGAAGTGGGGAGGTGGGTAAGAAGGGTATGACAATGGATAGGTTAATCAGGTTCCAGTTAATAGACCAACTTTGAAGGGCATTTAAGGACACAAATTTGACTCGATATATATATATATAAATTTGGGGGAGGGGGCTGAAGAGATGGCTCAGCAGTTAAGAGCACTGACTGCTTTTACAAAGGATCTGGGTTTGGTTCCCAGCACCCACATGGTGGCTAACAATTGTTTATAACTCCAGTTCCAGGCAATCTGATACCCTCTTCTGACCTCTGTAGGCATTGTACGACACAGTGCATTTATATACATGCAGGTGATATACTCATGCACATAAAAAATATTTAAAATTTATATATTTATATATATTATATATATATATATAGAGAGAGAGAGAGAATGAGAACATGAAATTGGTTGGCGGTAGTGAGGGGGGGGCGCAGATAGGTGAGAGGGTCTAAATATGATGAAAATATAGTGTTGCTTCAAAGAGAACACATTTCTTCTACTTATGCACAATTTTTAAAAGATCTTGCAAAATAGTCTTCTTTTTGGGTGGCCACAGCTATACCAGCACTTCTAAGGATGGATGGACTAGCCCATCTGTCTATAATGGTGATAATGCTCTGTCACCATTTAACCTCCCTTCCAAGGGGGAACCTGAGACAGCTGTTCTGGAATGATGTTCTTTGGGCTGTAGAGATAATGTAGAGGGTTTGAGAGCCATTAGGGTATGTGAAGGAAAATACAGCACTCACTGCTGAGCTACAGAGTAAACAAGCACGTACCTTCTCAGAGTGTTTGAACTGCCTCCAGAAGCTGTCATACATTCTTTTGGTAACCTTTTCTGGAGTGCAGACAACAGTTTTGATATAAACTTTAAAGCTACGATCCAATAGCTGGTTAATTTCACCATAGTCATAGTCATCATATCTATTAAAAGACACAGGAAGAATGAACTACTGTCAGTGTATGTTTTCTACTTATAGTGTTATAAATGGTATACTTTTCCCCACTTTGTATAGACAATTATTCTTCCAAATGATATAGCTTTATGATGTTTAAATGAGGTAGGGTGGAAGGGCATAAAGGTAAAAGAACTTAGGAACAGGAACAGAAAATTTTCTAGTGCCCAATCAAATCATTTCTGAAAGGTGATAGCATTAATGCTATAGTACCAGGTATCAATAGTGTATTCACAATCATAAACACTCAACCACACTGAGAACCCATTTCTGAAGAGTTTATATAAAAGGCTGAAATTAAGAAGACAAATATATTTATTATTGCCACTATTATATATTATAAAACAGTAATTCACTTGTGTGAAAGAAGTTTTGGGGGTCAGAGGAGAAAAAAGGCATTGGTGAGTACCAAGAGGGCTGGTCTACCCATGGTCTCACCATGACCATTCTCAGGTGAGGCCAAGATGCTTGCGTGCAGCGGTGTTTGTTCTGACCAATGCATGATAGCTTCAGATCACATAGGCACTAAAGTTGCTTAATGAGTTTTTGGTGGAAAAGGGAAAAAACTCTTGGCAAAACTGGTCCTACAACCATCCAGGAGGCTGAAGTCAGTAGTTTGGTCACTGATTAGTAGAAGTTAGTTTAAAACTGGTTGGTTGTACTTTAAAGGCCTAAGTAGTTTTAATTAAAGAGAGCTTGTAGGTCAATGATAAGATGGAATGTAAGAGGAAGTCTAACATAACCAGAGAGCAATACAATGTTGAGTGTTTGTGTGTAGGAGAAGGTGGCACATAATTGTATTTTCTATATAACAACATGTTGGGAACCTAACAGTAAAGACATGAAAGATTTCTATTGTAACTAAATATTATGGGTATAAGTACTCTTCAGAGTAGACTTAACAACAGCCAGCAGTGCAACAGAAAGGGCCTGAATTCCAAAACATGAATGCCAAGAGACAGAAGATGATGTAAAGATGTTCGGCAACCAACTTTGCCTCTTATCTATGTCCTGGGACCAGCTTGCTTGCCTTTCCCTTCCCTGGAGTCAGCTATCACTTATCTCTTGTAAAGTCCTTACCTCTTACCTCTGTCTTCATCTGTCTAGCTAGGATAGAGGGGAAAAAACCCAACAAAGTGGCTCTGTGAGGCACAAGAAATATAAAAATAAGCTGTGTATTATATATCTGTGCCTATGTGTGCTCCACACACTTGAAGAATTCAGTCTAATGAAATATCTCTATATAAATGTAAGAAAACAGACTAACCGTATTCCAAACATGCAGTGAATATAGTTCCAAATAGCTCGTCTAAGCATTGAGGTATCAACATCTTTGTGCATTGCCATTGTATTGTAAGTAAGATTGTAAGCAATGTGAAATTTTTCATCAATCAACTGTCCCACATCTGGATAAAGGCGATTTACCAGAGAATAACCATGGTCTTCCCAACAATAATCCTAAATACAGGGAAGGGAAGAAATATGAATAATTAAAATGTGGTGAAGTATAGTTATATGTTCATAGCTCTGGGGTAAATGACATCTCTGGCATCTGGGATCCCCTGACTTACCCTTAACTTCACTTCTACTACAATCCATTTCAATTTCCACACTGCAGCAGGAACAAGGTTGTGTTTTGTAACTCAGTCAATTTAAAAACCAATGGAGGCCGGGAGTGGTGGTGCACACCTTTAATCCCAGCACTCAGGAGGCAGAGGGAGGCGGATCTCTGTGAGTTCAAGGCCAGCCTGGTCTACACAGTGAGTTCCAGGCCAGGAATAAGGAGACCCTGCCTAAAAAAGACCCCCCCCAAAAAACCCCAGAAAACAAACAATAAACAATGGAGACTTGCCCCCTTACCACAGGCCACTGATTCTTGGCTTTCTTCAGCTTTCTACCTAGCCTCTAGGGGAACCCAGCTTGAGAGTCCTCTCTCATTTTTATCACTGAAACCATTCAAATATTCTTCAAATTCTGTGAATTTCTAGGCTAGATATATGCCTATTAGTCTAACAGGACCAAAAGTTAGAGGCCAACCTGGACTATATAGCAAGACCATGTCTCAAAAGAAAAGAAAAAAAAAATCCAATTCAACATATA